TTTCCACCAAATCCAGACAGTCCCTTTGAAGCAACATTTAGGCTTTTTCTCGTGTTCATGCGCTGTCACATGTATTTGCAGTCAGTCATTATCATGGCACTGTTCAACCTGTGAGGAAAAGAGTTTAATAGATAAGTAAGAAAAATTAAGCTTCAGCTGATCACTTTTTGAATTACAAGACAATTTCGTTTAATAACCTGAGTTGATAAGGTTGATGTTTCAAGCATTGGCCCTTTGCCATTGAGAGACAGTTTTTTAGAAACATCCGTTTTAATTTCTGATTTGATCTTTAAGTGCATTATGGATAAACTGAATTCTCATGTAGGAGAACTTCATATTAATTTAAAAAACCCTCCAAACTATTCATTCTGAAGCAGACTTTATTTTACTTGTCTGGGAAATATTGAACTTAGAGATACACGATACCGTATTTACTCGTGTATAAGTCGACCTTTTAAGACCAAAAAATCAGCCCAAAAAGTCACCCTCGACTTATACACGAGTCATAAACAAAGACCTGACCCAAGCAATCCAAGAAATTTAATAGCATAACAATTGCCTGAACCAGTTCTAATTGTGTTCGAGTTTCGTCAGTTTTCAGCGCATTCTTCGTCAACGAACAAATTTGAAATGATAAATTTTAAGTGGCTTAACCACAATGCTACTGGAGCTGATTTCTGTTTTGTCTTGTGATCTGTAGAGTAAACACTTTTCCTTAAAGATCCGCAGCTGTTTACGGTGCCGAACTCTCGTGTTCATCGAACGATTACATTAGCTTAGTGACCTGGCAAATGCTGTTGTCTCGCGCGTTCTCGTTTCTTACGCGCGATCCTTCGAAGCTCTTCGGTGTTCCTTCGGCTTACTAAATCTCCTTTCAAATTCAACATTGAGATAAAAGTTGGTTAAATGCAAGAAGATTTCATTTTCAATGCGATTTACGAAATAAGGTTAAATAATTCTCTAGTAAATCGAAGGGCTCGTGTATGTTAAATCGTGGTAATATAAACAAGAACTTGTTTAAACTTCATGACACACGGTTACGTTTTGCTCTTCAGTTTTTCACCGCGTTTTCAATACACTTTCAGATGTAGGAGATTAACTTTTTGAGAAATTTCTATCGGTCTGAATTTCACTTTAACTAGAATTGATGAAACATCCGATATTTGACCTTGAAAATGGGAGGTTGACTTGTACACTAGTTCGCGACTTATACACGGTAAATACGATACTTCTCTTTTAAATTACCTAAATCAAGCAGAGATAGACACCTCCTTAACAATTATGTAACAATCCATGTTTCACCCAAATGTTTTTATATATTGTCGAAGATTCAACTTACCAAAACCACTTGAACATGCATAGAAGCTTTGTGGTACAGAGCTGTTGTGTCAAAGACAATTCCTTGTTTCCGTGTTTTCTTTATCCAAGAACTGTATGAATAACAAAGCATGAGGCTTTGCCGAAATCTTACCTTACAATTTTGTAACAATTTTTCAAAAAATATCTAAAATATATGCTTCATCCACCCTCGCTCCAGGATCAAATTTGGTAAAGAAGGCAATTTCAACCACAACCACTTTAGTTAGCATAAGCCCCAAGTACTAGCATATGAAACCTATGCGAATCTGCGTACGATATATATTTAACATTCAACTTCGGACAAGAAACTAAACATTAACAGGTATAAAACTGGGCTAAGCTGTGAAACTTCAGTATCACCATACAGCACAATAAAGTATGTTGAAATTCACGACAGTTTTTTTCTGACTCGTCTGCCATGATAAAACTGGCCTCCTTTTGTTCACTATACTTGCAAGTGACGAGAGAAAAACCAATGCGTACTTCTAAAATTTAAGTTAAGAACGCAAAAATATATGAACAATGGCCGCGGCCGCACTCGGATGCAAGAGTCATATACAGCGAAAGAATACGGCTTAATGCTTGGAAGGAATCGATGTTAATTTCAAAGTGCACTCTACAAAACCCTCTCCTGCCTGGATTCGTGATTTCCTCAAGCCATCGTATCGCCGATGTCTCGAATAGTCCCAACGATTGCAAAGGAGAACGCTCTGACATCTACGCAAAATCAACACCATGTTCGAGAGAACTGCCTTGGAGGTTTACTTAGTACGCATCGGAAGGAAGAGTGATTGCCTTATCCGTGAGTGTAGATAAAGAGAACGAAAAGAAAGAAAGAGCAGATGCGAGAAAATAAAAACGTGGTCCTCGTGCAAAGTCTGCATTTCCTTGGTTTCCCCCATAATGTCAATTACAAGTATTCTCATTTCATAACCCATTCAATGCGGCCGTTCAAAAATTTATATAATTTGTTTTCAGACGTCGACATATTGATCTCGATTGATCTATTTAGCCACAGATAGTTGATTCTCACCTTGGCGTGTAAAGTGCATAAACATACCTTCATTCCCATGTAAACCACGAAATGTCTTCCGTGACTTTGCACGATAAAACAGGTTTAAACCATAACATGGAGTGAAGCACGCTGCTTTTAACTAATTCTTTTACTCCGACAAGGTAACGAGACTGTTGCAGATTCACAGCGCATGTTTCGTTGTGCATTAAGACCGGTGCGGAAAAATAGACCTTTGGACCCTTGGACCCTTGGACTATTGGACTCCTTTTTGGACCATTTTTTCAACCCTTTTTTTTCGGACCAATTTTTTGGGATAATTTTTTGGACCATTTTAATGGGGAGGAGGTAGGCCATTGGTATTTGGGGTGGGATACAGTTTTATCAGAACCCAGGGAGGCAAACTGTTCTTAGTAAGGATATAACATAAACCGAGCAGTTACATGTTCGAAAGCCACGAAAATAATTGACAACCCTCAATGGGCATATTATTCAGTTAGATCATTATTAGCGCGCTCATTAGGATTAGTTGATGGCCACGTGCATATGTTCGCTGCTAATATTATATGGCCCGGTAATTTATGCTGGCATACTACCAACAGTATTTCACACAACCCAGGTCATAAATCAGTCTGTAACTTACGGTAAGGACCGAGGAAACGAGGGAAGCACATAGGTATTTATCTCTTGGTTAAAATAGGAAGGAAAGATTTCAATTCGAATAAACTTTTGAATTTAGCGGACCGTACGATGAAAGACGGCTCTCTCAGTCATTTTCAAGGTTTTCCTCGCCTAGAAGATCAAACTACACGTTCGACGACGTGCCTGATTGGTCCATAACGTAAGCGATCAGAAGTTGAATGAAGCCGATAGTGGGAAGCTTTTGTAGCTTGCGCCAAGAGATTGTACATCGAATACCATAATCTCTTGCTTACGCAGTTCATGATCTCTTGCTTGCGTCAGCATCCCGACTGATCATTGAAAGCATTTTGGTCGTGATGCGGTAAATAACGCATTTATATCCTCAAATTCCACTCATTCAAAAGTCCAAATGCGCAACCTTGGAGGTCAGCGCAGAAAATACACAGTTTGCGACAAGGAACACTTTTAAGCTGTCAGGTTGTTTCTACCACGAAGTTACCACCGATATGATTTAGGATTCATGAATGAAGGGGGTAAGTTTCTAAAGAAACTGTGGTGCTGCGTCGGTGGGAGAGTGTAACAGAGCGATTGCTCTGACGAAGGGCTAGCGCTCAAAACATCAGCTTTTGAACTCTTAGCGATGGCCAATTTACGTTAACAACACAGTCGATAATACTTAATAACTTTGATTTAGGACGCCTTTGTAAGCTGTGTTATTCCAGGAAAGCGTTAAAAACTGATGATACAAAACTGATTTGAGTATTCTGTATATTGCCCAACAGGTTATCATTGGCATCTTCACCTGGAGACTTTTGAAAGATCCCTGAGGGATATGAATCACAAAAATCATCAGAGGTCTGGACGGAAACTTAAAACAGGAAAGAATAGCAATTCATAACTTTGCGTCCACCTCTCAACAAAATACGCAAGTAATCTAAGGCATGGCTAGCCAAGGCACTTTAGGCACTTTTTCTCGTAGCTATTCGTACAGATGTCATCTGTGTTGGAAAATAAAACATATGCACTAAAGCCGGCCACAAAAAGTTCTAAAACTTAGCAGGTGGAAAAAGAGGGGAACGTGTAGCCCCAACATAACATTTAACAATTATTCACCGAAATGAAGGTAAATAATAATGGAGATTTGGTGGATATTTACCTAGCCGCTTCGCAGCTTGATAAATGTCACCGACACTTAGGTATATACCGCACAGAAACCAAAAAAATTAGTTTATATCAGTTGATATACCAAAAGATAGTCGGAAATTAAATTGTTGGCGTGCGATATGTCTCTTTGGCTGCTCGGAGGTGAATAGTACTTACTAATCACTTCCGAACCAGCCGATCAGCCTGCGCAAAAACCACTATTCACCTGTGTGGTATATACTAAAACGTTTTATTAGCCCAACACTGATTAATTAAATTAGCATATAATTCTAATTTTACAGTATTATCGATTAATCAAATTGGGATTTAAGGGTATCCTGATTGAAGAGTGTAATTTACAGCGATTAATAAATATGACTAAACAAAAAAAATCTAATTCTTAGAGGAGCGATTAATCAATTCTCCACATGAAGGTATTAGCAAGAAACGAGACGTGACCTTAACACAGAGAATGCTGACCGTAGAACTTTTTAGCCTTTTTAACACGGGCTGCAAATGACATATAGTGGTTCTGTAACTTCTCTCGAATCTACAACCTCAGTTATTTCATGCATCACGGCAAAATTATAATCATTACTTATTAAGTGATTTAAGATTAAGTGAGATCAACAAATTTGTTCCTGTGATGACTGAGAAGGCAGCTGGCAGCTATAAATTCCACTGGTCTAATTCATCCTGCAAGTGTACAAATTTGTAGCATGGTACTAAAGCCTCCGAGGTAAGAGGTGGTTTAGAAATAAAACGGAAAAACGAAGGTTATTCACAGTTCTTCGAGCCGTTACATTATAAAACCTTGGACAATCACTTCAAACAGAAATGTTCCAAGAATTTACAGCTTTTCGTAATTTGCCGGCGACTTTCCTTCTCTCCCGCTCCAGATTTATTAATTTTAACTTCATATATGAACCGTCATCTTCATTTCCTCAGAATACTCAATTAGAATACTTGTCTTGGGGCTGAAATCACGTCTCTATAATCCTGTGGATTTGATTCTTCCCCCATTTCAGCCCCCCCCTCCCCTCATTAAAGAGGGCCATACCCAAAACTTTTACGAACACTAAACCAACTTTGAAATAAGTTTCAAGGGGGGAGGGTTTCCGAAGTAGTGGGGGGAGGGGGGAAGTGGTTCCTTGATTCATTAACAAAATTATTATCAGCAGTGCATTTATGTTGCATCGAAGTGCCTCAACATTTTGGGAAATGTTTAAGGAAAGCAAAAACGAGTTATGAATAAACTAGAATTAAAGTTTTTTTGTTGAGTGAGCGAAAGGCGCAGATAAATAAGTGGCGACAATATAATATTATCATTTAAATATTTAACTAGGCAGATTTATCAGATTTTCGAGCGTTCATAATTATGTCATTCAATAAAGCCAATTTCTCGAGTTCTCCGGCCTTTTCTCTTAGAACTTTAGGTGCGTTAAACCCCTTGATTTCGATGACAGCTCTGATTGTGGAGCCCAGCACCTCAGTGTCCCATATGATCTTTTTCACGTCGAGAGGTACTTCAACTGAAGACTTGCCTTCTGCTTTTGAAGCAGCTTTGGAGGAACGAGCGTTAAAATTTGATTTGGGGGGCACTTGTGTACCTATTGGCACAAATACCTTGGGAGCATGCCTAGTGTCTTCCTTTGTATTCATAGCTTGTTTTCTTTTAAATTCGAATGGTCCGGAGAGCATCTCTCTAATTGGGTCATTCAGCTCATGGGTTTGAGCTAGGTAGTGAAGGTACGACAGATTTTTTTCCTTTTTTCTGCCTAACTTACTCTGGCCAATTTCGTCGATGACCATTAATAACTTCCTCAAGAGCTTCTCGGCCTTTTTTATCTCTATCAAATTTTTAACCTTCTCGTAAATATCTGCCCCAAATTCTGCGGTAGTTCCACAAAGAGCGACACCAATTCCTGTAGCTAGAATGGGCGCGGCGGCTCCCAGGCTCATAAAGATTCCACCACCGATAATTAACATTCCTCCTAGTACTGCACTTGTGCCAGCTATACGTGTCATCTGGCAGCCCTTCAAAACCTGTTCAAGTTTTGCAGCTGCTGCACGTAAACTATTGGCTGTTTTAAGAAATTCCGAACTCATCTCCATCATCTCTTTTTGAATTTCCGCCAAATCTTTCCCATCCAGTTCCATTTCATGTTCAGAGAAATGTTCTAACAAACTCTTCGTATCTTTTTGATTTTCCACCATTGTATCCCATTTTTTCTGAAGAAAAATTAGATGTAAAGGGAATGTAACTTCTCATACAACCTTGTACTTTGCTTTTAATGAAGCAATTACCAGTTTACACCACAAATTTGGATTAATCATTCTTATTCTAAATGGCATTGCTCAGAAATAATCAGCGAGTGGGTTTAAAAATGCACACTGGCAGTAACACATTATCACTTGGCGCTATTTTCTAGGTTAGAGTAGTAAGAAATATTGGTAGTGACAGATAATTACGTTTCGGCGACCTATGCAGAAGTCATCATCACAGTCAAATGAAGTCTGACTTGTTTGTCTCTTCAAGGTGTTACGTCCGGTTCGTGAAACTGATAGGTCATCATGTAAGCCTAATGTAACGTTCACATGAAAAAATTACGCGCTTCTGATTGGCTGTAAACGAGTGCATTCTCATGTAACACGAGTGGAAAGTTGTAACACGAGTACAAATTACAAATAGCGTGCGCGCTTTCAAAATTTCGACTGTCTTGACTCTCTGCGATGTTTTTCATGTACATTATTAACAAGAAATAATATGATTTATCTTGCAATTTGGTGTAATAAGCACTTGTAAATTTTTCAAAGACTACGAATTGCACTTGCTTTACTCGAAATCAAGTTATTACCTATACTAATTCGTTTGCAAGATATGAAATAGCGTAAGGCAAATGGTGTTGATCACTTTCGATTCGTCGGTAAAATAAGGTTTTTCTGTTTAGGTAATTTGTTAAGAAAAAAATCTTGAATGAGTCGATAGCAGGGTTTCGGTAGTTGTTGGTATATATCTACTTAGAGGAATTCATTTGGCTGATCTGGTAAACCAGCTTTCTAGAATTGGTCTTTCAAAATAGTTCGTGTGGAAGGTTACATGGATTTCATGAATTGTTATCAATATCTGGCCACAGCGTCATATATAACCTCATACAAAACTGCGCCAAATAAAAGAAACCCTTAGATTTGGCACTCAATTCGCGACGTGCTTTAATTTTCTAAGCAAGCCTGTTACCAGGTCCCCAGGAAGTTGGAACTCAAACTTGTACGAAAACTTCCATTTGAAAAATTAACTTCATAAAATCTTATTATCAAAAAAAATACCTCAAAGGCACCCGATGTAGTCTGGATGTCTTCTTTCACTGTGATATAAAAGAAAGAGCAAATTTCAGGAAATAAATTGATAGCTAGTCAGGGCTTCTTTCATAGGTTGTTTACTATCGATTGGTAACGCCATGTCTGCGTATGATTCAATTGAGTAAAAATAATCGAGTCCAATTTTAAATTTAGAGTTCTCACTAAGAATGGTTTAAAAGAAACATTAAAGCAATCCGCGCTCTTCCTGTCAATAATGATCTCTTCTGTATCACGGCGTCTTAACCCTGTAATATGCAGGTATGGTTGTAGGCAGGCTAAGGCTGAAATATGAATAAAGAGGGTAAGATTCTAAATAAAATGACATGCTGTGCCGGTAAGAGGGGTATAACATGATAATTTGGTTTTATAAACTGAGTTGATGATGTCATTTGTGCAACGTAAAGAGTTTCGAAAGCTGAAGTTTCATTTATTCTGACAAAGGGCTAACGATCTAAACGTTTCTAAAGCTGGCTAACGATAGCTTTAGAAACTCTTTACGGTGGCTAATTAACATCATCTACTCTATTGATAAAACCAGACCATCTAGCAATTAGTCAGGCAGGCAGATGTCATGTGAGAAAAGTATATCAATTACATTTATGTTCTTGCGGATCTGTATTTTAGCAAAGAAATCGTTCAAGTATATGTAGCACCAGCAAAGAATACAAGATTCCTGCTTGATACCCAAAAAAGATGATTGATGAAGCTCAGTTGGCCAGTACACAATACCTTCAGATTTTGTTCCCGCAGCCTCCTCAGATCCCAAGCTTTCAGAGGCTGATAATTTACTGGAAGATGTTTCCACAGTTGTTGACTTGTTTGAGTCGTCAGAATTTTCAGTCATCACAATGCGTTTCATTTTGTTGCTCAAGTCTGAGATGATGAAACAAAAATGGTAGTATCTTGATTAATTTATTTAAGAATCAAGTGATAATTTCAGTTCTGTTAGCTTCTTCTTCTATGGCAGGATACTGATACCAACTATGGTTTACTTACATGTGCCTGTTCGGTGAGAGCAGCGAACTGCTGAGCAAATCATACAAAACTAACCTGCATGGGACTACAAATATTGACAACTATGTAAATGAGAAAACGCCGACACCAACATCACAGAGTAAAAGAATAAAAAGTGATAGTTACAGAGTAAAAGTTATGAACTCACCAAGTTGTTGTTGAGTCTTGTCAGTAGCTTTTGCTAGTTCTGACCAATCAATAGCCTTTGGGCATTCTTTGCCAGTGCTTGATTCTTTTAAAAGTCTGCCTAATCGAATATTTGTGAAAAAGTTTAGAGTTACTAACTTTCGCACTTCTTTAATCACAGCATAATATATAATACAGCATTTCTCGAGATTTGATAAGACTGTGTATGAAAGATCCATCGAAACGAAAGAACGGAGCTCTATATCCTGTATAATTTCGTGACTGATAGGATTAACAAATGTTATATTGAACATTATGTAAACTGCGGAGTTTCAACCCTGAGAAAAGCCTTCACTGTCTATTTTTCATGTAAAACAAGTGCAAAATTGCAACAAGAGTGCAAAGTCGTAACACGAGTGTAAATTACAAATAGCGCGCGCATGTGATGCGTTTTTCATGCAAATTATAAGTAACAACAAGATTTCAGGCACAATTTGATGTAAATACAGGCCTAGTGCGAATAAGCACTTATAAATTTTTCGAAAACTACAAATAGCACTCGCCCTACGGGCTCTTGCAATTTTGTTGTCTTTGAAAATTTTTCTTGTGCTTATCAACACTAAATTGCAATAAAAATTATGTTGTTCCCCATTATTACTCGATATCTCGCTAGCGATCGTATTGAACACTCGAAGAGAAATTCCATATCTACGCCTGCCCATGTATTTTTATCTGTATATCTCCCTGTTGGTACGTGTGCTATGACTGGTGAACTTAGCGGGCCGTATTTCACTGCACAGCCCGAAAAATCGAAACGTTTGTTTGGCAGGTGTTAGACTATGACCTTCTAAAGAAAAATCTCCATCGATACTGCTCGATTATAGATCACATGCTTGAATGCATGTAAACCCTTTGCCTTATCGCCTTTAAACGTTACCTTTCTGTTATGTTCTCAAAGTAACGGGCAATCCCTAAGTTTCCATGTTCCCTGGCGATAACCTCTGGCAATTGTGAATTACTCTTGTAAGCATCAAACACAATCCTTCCAGCCGAACAGGAAAAGATCATCTCAACAAAATGCTGTGCTCCCTCTTTTGCAGCTGTGTAAACCAAGAAGCATAACAACTGGACTTGCTGCGCGTGTCCTGAAAGTATAGGAGAAGAAAGACACATCGGCGCGTTCTAAGGTGCTCGTAGCGATTTTCACACATATTTCACACTTAAATTTCATATGGATTGGAAAGGTACGTGAAAAGCATTTGAAAAACACGAAAAAATATTATCCCTATCTGTCACACAGTGTTTACTGTGGTGGCCTAGAGTTATCACCAGCCCGATTTGAGAACTAATAGGACAGTGTACGCGTCATGCTTGTAATTAGACAGTGTAATTGGACGGTTGACAGGTCATGCCTGTGTAAATGGACAGTACGCGTCATGAGCGAACGCTGTTGTCATGCATTTCCCCGCGTTAGCTGTTGCTTTTTTCAATGAAAACTTCTAACCGATGTCCAGTTTCTTTCTCAGATTTTGTCATAAGTTAATAACTTGCGATCCAAAAATTCGAATGTCCCTTTAGAGCCACCGTACTTTACACATGCTGTTTAGAAGCCTACACGTGGAAACTTCCATGTATGCATGCACTTCGGAGCTCTGACGAGGATTTGGTGATGAACCGACCGCCAATTTTGAGCTCAGGCCTCCTGCGAAACGCCCGAGTAATAAAGGGAAAACATACTTTCCTTGGGAGGGTATTTGCTGTTTTAGCTTGATTGATCGTCTCTCGAATTCCGGCAACAGTCCTTATCAGCAGGATTGATCGTTTAGTCGAAGAGGGATTGTAGAAAATCGTGCAGTGAGGTTACCCCTATAAAGAGAGATTGGACTACACGATCTTCTCTTACTCTCCCCACTAGTAAAGAGAAGTGTGTTTTTATATGGCCATAGTTCACAGAGATTGAACTTTCCAAATAAATTAGAAAACTTTTTTCATTATACAATTGTTTGTTTATTTCTGTAGCTTACATCACTAAGTTCAGAACTATGCATATCTCCTCAATATTCTTTCTCTTCTTCTTTCTTTCTTTTCTTCTCTTTTTCTTTTTTCCTTTATAGTGGTCTTTATTTTGTCATGGCTCACCAGTTGGGCCGCTTACCTTTGCCTTATTTTTTGCCGGAGTAGTTGAAATTTTTCCTCAAGAATTTGCTTCCAGCTTTTAAAACCGCCCTCGAGAATAATTGAACGTTTGTATTCTTTCTCTGTTAGGCATCGGTCGACAGTAGTAACCATTACACGAAAGCTATCGAGCTCGTAATCTTCCCCGTCTTTCGTACGAACTGTGGCGAGAAACTCATCGAAAAATAATTTCCTCTTCACCATTACACGAAAGCTATCGAGCTCGTAATCTTTCCCGTCTTTTGAACGAACTGTGGCGAGAAACTCATCGAAAAATCATTTCTTCCCCAACATTACACGAAAGCTATCGAGCTCGTAATCTTCCCCGTCTTTTGCACAAACTGTGGTGAGAAACCCATCGAAAAATCATGTCTTCTCCACCATTACACGAAAGCTATCGAGCTCGTAATCTTCCTCGTCTTTCGTACAAACTGTAACGAGAAACTCACCGAAAAATAATTTCTTCTTCATCCTCTTCTTTTACGTAAAATCTCTAAACTACATGCCTATATATTCACTACTGACAGATACGAGTGGGCATGCCAGCCGGCTGGAGATCAAACATTTGTTGTTAGAACGCTAAACCAAACAATTTCACGAGAATTTCGATCTGAACAATTAGCACTTAATCATAGTGCTTCCGAACAACTGAGTCAAGTTAGAAAGGCTGTCACAATTCGGAAACTCGTCACGACAATTCTAACCTAAATAACTTCGGAATTTTAATTCATACATTAAATACTTTCTAAATGTAAACGAAAAATTGAATCATACTAAACTTACTAACCGACTGATTTACTAATTATAAACTAACTAAATACTTTATAAAAATCATAAGTACCAAAATTGCACGAAACAAAGTTCAGGTAACACTTCATTGCACCCATTTTGAAATCACAAAATTCAGTAGCTCAAATGCAGGATTTTTTAGCTTGTAAGGGTATTTTTTGATCCATTCCCAGGTTTGTAAAAGTAGCATAAGTCGCCTTCCATTTTCCTGTAATTTGATTGGTTACTTAAAAAAGCCTTGAAATCTGATTGGGTGTAGTGTTTTAGTGAAGCTATCCCATTGGCTGGGGAAAAGAAGCAATTCAAAGCTAAAAATGGTTCCATTCGTAAGCAAACCGCACCGATGAAGCCAACCAGATTGCAAGGATCACCACTGATTTTTAAAATGAATGTTCTAAAAAGGTTCACTTACCAAAAGTTGCAGAAGTCTGAGGTCTACCAGTACTGGTGCTATTTGCACCACGAAAGTTCTCGCTCATATCCTCACAAAGTCTTCTAAACATGCTTGATTCTTCAAAGTGGACCATTGCAATTGTCTGCCTTTCATTTGGGTAATAAAATATTCTTGTAGACCCTAGTAGAATCCTCCCTTGTGATTCAATTTCTACATCCGCTAAACCAGGTTCTGGTGCAGCTAAAGAAAACTCGAAAATTACTATCAACAGATTTGTATTGTTTTCTACTATTATCTTGATACGCTTCAAGCAACTCAGATATCAAGGTGTTTCTATCAGCTAGTTCTGTTCTTATTTACTTATTTATTACTTATTCGCCACGAGAATAAGTTTTACTTAGCAAATTTCACAAGCCGCCAACAATAGCTCTATAGAATCTTTATTTCACACGTAGATCAGATCATCGCACTAGTGAATTAATTAGCTACTTATCTAATTTGTATATAAGGAGGTATCTTCTTCATTGAATAAAGTTCTGTCTGACAAGCGCTTCGGCACGAAACTCAGAGTAACAGAGAATCGATGCGTCCTTTTTGATTCTTTCACATATATATATATATATATATATATATATATATATTGCAACAGGGGAAAAAAACAGAGAGACTATACTTTCATCCCCACAAGCCTGTTTCGTGATTACTAACTCATCAGGGGATTTTATCCTCCTAATGAAATCCCCTGATGAGTGAGTAATAACGGAACAGGCTTGTAGGGATGAAAGTATAGTCTCTATAAATATACATATATATATATATATATATATATATATATATATATATAGATAGATAGATAGATAGATAGGTAGATTAATTTGTCTATTTGCGCCATGCCACAGAAAATAAGGCCAATCAAATAACAGGAAATCAGTTGTATATTCGGCGAGATTACAGCCACCCTTCCCATCGTGCGCTGCGATATTCTACCTGCCGTATTAAATTAAGCAAGTGGCGCCATTTCCAGCGTATTTCAAGTGTTCTTTGGGCTATATAAGAGCCAACTATTTCTATCGACTTTAATTTCGAGGTCGAATCAGCAGAAAATGAATATTAAACCAAAAAGACACAACTGAGCAAAGAAATCCAGGAACAGTAACGAAAACTAATTTAAACTTAAGATTTTCATCCCAAATCCATCTCCTTCAGAGGAAAGAGATCTGACCGAAAGCTACAGAACAGACGCACAGCAAAACGGAATCGACTTGTTAAATGTCTTATAAGCTAAGCCTGGAAAGCCACAGGTAGATAACGAAAGTAAGTGAAAAACGAATTGATGTTTGGAGTTACACTTACATTTACAGGGATGATTTATAAAAATCAGTTGCAAATATGCAGTATGTTGAAAAGAAATGTCGCGCCGTTCGTTTTAAATTTTGTCGCGCGGTGAAAGAGTCTCACCAATTTTTCCAAAACATCGGCAAAAGAAATTAAAGTTCCGTGTAACTGGTAGTAATAAATAAACGGGCTCTTTATTTAATTGTCCTCCTGAAAGACTTATTAGCAATGGGAAAAAACTACAAAGTGACAATAGACAACAAAGCTACATAATTTCAGTAATTTGGAGTCCGTAACGATTCCGTCATACTACCCGCGATCAGTAAGTTTTAGTTGGTTGAAGCTTCAGAGAGAGCTCCAATTTAAGCAGAGGTGAGTCGTGAGCAAAAGAGCTTGACACGGCTAGAGCAGTTTTCCTTCGATTTCTCAATGCAAAGTTTTTAGAGTTAAAAATTACGTTCACAAAATGACAAAAAAGTTCGCCTTTCTCTCGTCTAAATTCAACTACTCTTCTGCAGCAAATTGTAGCTTTTGCCTAAATCTTCCATACTACCATTTCTCCTTGGACAAAATTTACTAAATACTTTATTATCCTTTTTGCTTAACCCTAATGACATCATAAATAACCCTAATGAATAATGACATAACAAATTAACCCTAATGAATAATAAATACTTTATTATCCTTTTTGTTCAACCCTAATGACAATTATGTCAGGGTTACAGTTTAAGTTACTTATAAAAGGAGAGAAATACCTGGAATGCTAGATCCGTGTAAGTAACCAAACCTTGCGGATCTTTCCAGCTCAACAGTGGCGAAAACATTGTCTGTCTTTTTGAATTTAGCAAACCCTGAGGTGACCGTTTGCTCAAGAGCTGGAGTAAATGTAACCTTGAAAGGATCTCCACCCTACAGATTTTTAAAAAAGCGAATGGTTAGAAAATTTCAACAAACAGCAATTACAATTGTGACATACTACTGAGAAATCACACGATTACTTTTTCTAAGGCCAAATGCTAACCTAAGTGTAGCCGTACCCTCCCCCCTTAGGGTGAAACGGCAGAGGGGAACCTCGCTTCCGTTTCATCTCGGGGGAAAGGGTACGGCTACACGTAGGCTTGCTAAATGCAAGCAAAGCATCGGGCCCTAACCGTAAAAGATATATTCGCTTAGGCCTATTTATGCTTAAAGGGACTCTGTAAATGAAAATCTTTGTCAAAATTCCTCAATCTGCTCTTATTTAATTCGAAGGGTGAACAATAAACCGTCATGTCCATTTCTAATCAACTAACTCGGTTACTGATCAAGTTTTTGCATTTTTGTCAAGATGAAGATCACTGTTTAAATGCACCAGAATAATTAGTAGAATATAAGATAATTTGGTACAAGCTTACATGATTAACAGAATGCTTTAACTCCTAAGCATATCTTTAAAGAACAGTGGTAAGTCACTTTACCTGCAATGGACTTTGCGCAGGCGTTATCGTAGCTTCATAATGTACGTTGTCGCGTAACCATTGCGTCCAATACTGATAATCTAAATTATGACAGCAAGGGTCTTTTTAGTCCAAAAGCTTCTACTGTCGCTCAATGAGTAAGAATAAAAGCTTAGGTGCATAACACATACCATATGTAGGTTCACTCATAACAATGTAGAGAACAGAATTGCCTCTTAAATTCCTTCTGATCGTCGATCCATCCCAAATACGCCGGTCGCCATGAAAATTAAATGCGTTGCTTTGATTATTGATTCCTGCACATGAAAACCTGCCCATTCAAAAAAATCTGTTTCAAAATCATCTTTACTCAATACCAGTAAGTTTTAGAGGGCTTTCGGCGCTTCCCGCTTTATTTTAAGCGAATTTTATTTGGAATTATTACGCAGAAGAAATAAGCGGGAATATCGTGAAAGAGCTGTTGTTCTCAAAATAAATTCACATGCTAAAATCTCAAAGACATAGAAACGACTCTGTGACCTAAACATAAAAACACTGCATACAATTTTGGGATAACATAGTATTATGAAAGATATCAAAGAAAATATTGCAATGAATATAAACGTCGATTAAATATAGGAAAAAGCAGTTTCTGATGCCAGCCAATAGATCTCCCACCTAGCTCCAAAACAGTGCAACCTCTTGGTATCTCTTACTTCAAAATATTACTAAAAAAGAAAGACAAAACATTCTCCTACCCTTCATTTAAGTCAAAGGTTGGAAACGAGTTCTGGAGTGTTTGTTGCACAATCTGCTCCGACATGTTTGTAGAAAACTGAACATTTGGTCTATACTGTCCTGTGTCTGGCCTTCTTATTCTTGCCATTTCGATAGTGTTGGGGATTAACACGCTTCCATTACTTCTTTGACAATCCTCAAGCCTCAATAAAATGACGTTTTTACTAAAATGATTATTCTCCGCAGCAGCCATCAGGTCACAGTGTAGTTTACAGTGGGACTGTTTTCTGAAAAATGGAATTGAATACAACCGATCAAAAATAAGACACCAATACTGGCTGCACATTTGTGTATACAAATAGCTCCTGTCACGTGTATCATATGATATGTTATTGAAATTCTATGGTTTCCGGACCGTGTGACCGAGGTCTTGACAAGTGCATTATTTTTAAGTCCGACGTCACAGTTTTTCACTTAGGGGCCAACCCCAGACCGTTTTTCTCCTCTCTGAGATCACTTTGGTTGCCTGCGCAAAGAGATGTCTAGTTGAACTGCGAGATCCTTCTATCACAGCCATGATCGCGAGCGACGTATGATTTTTTTCACAAGATTTAGCACAATAGCTTCGAAGTATAGTTTAACAATGTTGTAAAAATTAAGATAAGAAATTTTCTTTCGTGTCGCTTATCATTCTTGAAGCGAGTAAAACAGATAAGACATCTCGCCGGTAAAAGGCGTCCTAACTACGCTTTCATATTTCAATATTAATTTCAGCCTAAACGTATGAGCTTCATCTTGAGTTTTAGTCAACTGCGAAACAAAGTTAAGAGTTATCTCTATCGACTACCAAAATTTGAGAGTTTACGCCAACTGTCCTAGTTAGCCGAAGCACTGTGTTTAAGCTGGCGGCAAACCTGCATCAAGAATCCATTAAAAGAATCCTTACCGTTCACTAGGTGCAATCGATAACGTCAGCTTAACTCTAGGCAAAAGCGTTCTCTCCAATCTTAAAGTCACCCAGTACCGCTGGCCCCTCTTTTTAATAGGGATAAGTGCATTTGGTCGTAAGTTTGTTAGATGCGATTGTACAGCGCATGTTCGGTGTTCATGGCGAGTTTATTTTAAGTAGCTTGTCTAAAAATAACTGGATGTAGCTTAATACACAAGTGTGTCACATCGTTGAATGCTCAAACGGCACATGTGTCGGGTACAGATTGTTTACTATTTGCAAGAGCGGTTTTGTCCCCTTCATCTGCCATGATAACTTACTATTGTTTGCTTTCATAACGTAGCTTTTTACCCCCACCTCCGTAAGCACAAAATGATCGTAGCCCTCGATCTCTAATTCAAGTTAACATGCGTGAAACAGATGTTCTTTAAAGAGAAATAGTCTCGTATTCGATGCACGAATACGAGACTATTAGACTACGCATGTCACTCAAAAATAATAAATAGACAAAATAAAAACGAAAACGAAAACAAGATTAAGGTATCTTCGTAGATGGATCGAAACGTAATAGGTGAGCAATCTAACTAAGATCATTATGAGGTATAGCCAAAAACTTACTAAAACAAAACGCGGTTGCTGGCGCATATCTAATCAGACTACATCGTAATAAAAATAATTAACAGACTGCTAATGCAGGACTTGCTCTATACGCTGCCTATTACTAAAACCCAAAAAACACCCAGGGGTAAAAATTGGGAACGTATTCCCCAACCAAATACAGCGGGTTAGATGGGATAGGGTAAAACATGGAGTGGACCATTGGACTATTGGTATATTTTTCGGCCTCTTTTTTTACTTTTTTTTGCCCTTTTTTGGGACCAATTTTTGGACCATTCTTTGGAATATTTTATCGGGGGAGGCAAACCATTAAAGTCTATCAGTATTCAGGGAGGGGCTGGAGACAGATTGTTGTTACCGAGGGAGAGGTGGAAGATGAACTATTAGTGGGCAGAGACGGGTGGGAGGTGGTTGAAATAGTAAATGCTACTAATTGATGGAGTTTTCACTGGATCATATGTCGATCCTTAGCCCTTTACTCAGCAGTATAGTATTCACAAGCGCTATCGCAATTTTAACGCACCTCGACTATAAAAATATTGTTGGCACAATCGTACAAAGCAATCTTCTCTCTTTCACATGCAAAGTTTTTCGGCTTAAAGTGCCATTTCCCCACAGCCCACGCACTTCATTATTTGTGTATTTCTTTTTCTTCCTTTTTCTGCATAGTATTTTGATCTGATTTTGATCTTAGACTTTGACTGTTTCAGAAATTGGAATTATCTTAAAAGATGAGTAACATGAGTTGAGGTGAACCAATCAGAGAATTGCACGGGAGAAATCCTTCCTGCGATCACGCCGTTCATTTTTATTTTCAGTGCCAGGAACCTCAACTGAAAGCATACAGAGAATTTATCTAGGTTCTCGAATCCCGACAATTGCATCCCTTATCTTGCTACTATGGCGAGACTTCGATCATCTGTTCGCTACCGTTTTACACTGCAACCTGTTCAATAGAAACATAGGAGATTTTGTTAGTTTTTTCTCGGGCCAAATTTTATTGTTGCTTATTTGGAATGGCTAAATAGCTGTAAATTAGTTTTAAAAATTATTTCCTTTAAAAAAGACTTAACGTTGAGCATAATCAAAACAAAAAAAACGGCATTGTGTCTATTTTTTCGATACAATAGACCTTGAATACACTTACCCCGGTCCAAATTATTTTCGATCTGTCTAGCAAATGACCAAAGAAAAGAAATCCTAGATTTTAGTGGTTCGTTTTATACCTAAACTACTGTTATAACTTCACTCATTTCGCTTCGCTTAAAAGCCTTACGTACGTAAACATTGTTTCGTGCTTACTATATCAGAAATATAATGATTTTTGCGTGAAAAAACAAAAAAAAAAACTTGAGTAAGGAACCAATGTATCATTCTGATAATATTGGAGAAGAAAGCACAAAAAATTGAAATAGATCTCCCCTAATTTGGGATAGCTGTTTTTTTTAATTGAAATAAATTACTGGAGAGAGTATTTTCTCTACTCGTTCCTATTTAATTTATCCATCTAAATGTCTATTAGCTCGGTTTCCTTCGAGTGATTCTCGTTATTTACTCTGTTGGGGTCTTTTTTCCTGCAACAAAATAAAAACAACAAATTTATTATCAACTTAATCAATATTTTGGATATAAAGGAAATACAATTATTTATTTGGCCAACACTTGCATCAGAGAGCGTCAGAGAGTAACTCTCCGAAAAAGAAAAGAAAAAAAATATATATATATATATAGAGAGAGAGAGCGAGAGAGAGTGAAAGAGAGAGAGAGAGAGAGAGAGAAAAACGTATTAAAATAGCCTTTATTTTCAAGGTAACAAAGGATCCCCGCCGAAAGTCAGCGACCAGTATTCATAGCCGCCTTCACATCTAATTTAATTTTTATATATGAAATACCTGGTCTCACCGACTCTTACCTCCCCTTGTCAAACTCGAGCCTCACATCATCTCCAATCAGCGTAAACGGAGCCCACTCCGAAACCTTGGTAAAGCCGTTTTTTCTCATCCACTTCATGGCTAGATGAAGGGATTCACTGGCACTTTCTCCTTCAACAAGGTGTTCGTAGAACCGACTCATCAGCTGCTCCGTTGCTGAGTCTGAAATGGCCCACAGCCGAACCAACACAGAGCGAGCACCGCATCCCAAGAACGCACGGGCAATTCCAGTAACTCCCTCGGCTCTTATTTGTCCACTTCCACTGTGAGAGCAGCTAAGTACCACCAGTTTAGCTCTGACTTTCACTCGTGAGACGTCAGCCATCGTCAACATGTAAGCTTCCTGTGGTGGGATAGCGTTTCGACTTTTGGAAGTAGGAATCGGGGACAGGGCAATTTCTCCACTTTCGGCGTTATTATGGGCAGCAAAATGTACCAGGCTCACTGAACTTATCCGCTCAAGTACTGCCTGCTTCGTTGCTTCCTCTTCTACCAGAGGCATGACACCCACCAGTCGTCCGACCATCTCCGCTTCCCTTCTTGCACCTGGCAAGGGCGGCAGCCAATCAACCTTGGGATTGCCTACTATCAAGGCACCAGTGTTGTTGTGATACCCCTCTGGACTATCTTGAATGATCTTGAGTGCCGTCAAAGAAGGAATGACACGGATCCTATGAGTCTCTGAGAGGTATTCGGCTCCCTCCTTTTCCCTCAGGGCAGCAAAGGGAACTTTGTGCAAACTGCGGCCAGGAACAATAATGACTTCAGGTTCCTCAAGCAAATCATAAACGGGGGCAACAAACATTTTGTAACACAAAGATAGACTTGAAATCACTTCCTCGTCCTCGTCATCTTCCACGAGTCGCAATCTTGCTGAGCTATTTCGTTCGGGAAAGAGAGGTTGCAATTCAAACATACTTAAAGCCTGAACAAGATTCTCTTCTGATGATATTCTTTTATAATGGACTCCACTTTTTTTCAAGATCCAGAAATGCAGATCATTGTGAAAATAAGAAATGTACAGACAAGCACAGTTATTTTTCTTTCCAAAAATGTCCTCAATGCCAAACAAAGATAGTGAATTAACAGAGATGTGAGTTTCAACCGAGTATTCCTCTGTCATCAAGTCTGATAGGCCTCTAGCTCGACCCAACTCCTCAACATAAAGAGCATCCCGAGTATTTCCGATAGCACAAAGCAAATTAAAAAGCAGTTTCTTGATAAATTTTCCTGAGTCCTCAAGAAATAATTTTTCAAACTGGTCATTGGCGCCCAAGAAGTGTCTCAGCTCCTCATGCTTTTCAATGCACAGATGAAGACAAGAAAGGGAGTCTTTGATTTTATTTTGAAATGAATACAAAATGGCTAACTCTTGAAGGATTTGGAACTCTTTTCTTCTGTCTCCAATACCTCTAGATATGGATAAAGCTTTCTCCAAGTATACTTCCGAGGTTTCATAATCTGCAACAATTCTAAACACAACCCCAAGGTTTGCAAGATCTGCTGCCTCCCCTTCCTTATCACCAATTTCAGTTCTGATGACAAGCGCTTTTTGGAGATACTCTTTAGCCTTGCCGTATTGCCCAAGCGACTGAAACACAGTTCCAAGGTTTCCATAACATGATGCTTCTCCTTTTCTGTCGCCAATTTCAGTTCTGATGACAAGCACTTTTTGGAGATGCTCTATAGCCTTGTCGTATTGTCCGATAGACTGACACACACTTCCCAGGTTTTCATAACATGATGCTTCTCCTTTTCTGTCGCCAATGTCAGATTTGATGGCGAGCGCTTTTTGGAGATACTCTTTAGCCATGTCGAATTGTCCGATAGACTGAAACACAGTGCCTAGGTTTCCGTAGTCAGTTGCCTCTCCTCCTCTGTCGCCAATTTCAGTTCTGATGACAAGCGCCTTTTGGAAATATTCCCTTGCATTCTCGTATTGCCCGAAAGATTGAAACAGAGTTCCTAGGTTTCCATAACATGACGCCTCTCCTTTTTTGTCGCCTATGTCAGATTTGATGGCAAGCGCTTTTTGGAGATATTCTTTAGCCTTGTCGAATTGTCCGATCGACTGAAACACAGTACCTAGGTTTCCGTAGTCAGTTGCCTCTCCTTGTCTGTCGCCAATTTCAGTTCGGATGACAATCGCCTTTTGGAGATACTCTTTAGCATTGTCGTATTGCCCGAGAGATTGAAACAGAATTCCTAGGTTTCCATAACACAATGCTTCCCCTTTTTTGTCGCCAATTTCAGACCTGATGGCAAGCGCCTTTTCGAGATACTCTTTAGCCTTGTCGTATTGTCCGATAGACTGCAACACAGTACCTAGGTTTCCGTAGTCAGTTGCCTCTCCTTCTCTGTCGCCAATTTCAGTTCTGATGACGAGCGCCTTTTGGACATACTCTTTAGCATTTTCGTATTGCCCGAGAGATTGAAACAGAGTTCCTAGGTTTCCATAACATAACGCTTCCCCTTTTTTGTCGCCAATTTCAGTTCTGATGACAAGCGCTTTTTGGAGATACTCTTTAGCCTTGTCAAATTTCCCGAGGGAGTGAAATACAGTACCTAGGTTTCCGTAGTCAGTTGCCTCTCCTTCTCTGTCGCCAATTTCAGCTCTGATGACAAGCACTTTTTGGAGATACTCTATAGCCTTGCGGTATTGCCCTAGCGACTGAAACACAGCTCCTAGCTTTCCATAACATGATGCTTCTCCTTTTCTGTGGCCAATTGCAGATTTGATGGCGAGGGCTTTTCGGAGGTACTCTTTAGCCTTCTCGAATTCCTCGACAGAGTGAAATACAGTGCCTAGGTTTTCGTAGTCAGTTGCCTCTCCTTCTCTGTCGCCAATTTCAGTTCTGATGGCAAGCGCCTTTTGGACATACTTTCTAGCCTTGCCGTATTGCCCAAGCAACTGAAACACAGTTCCTAGTTTTCCATAGCATGATGCTTCTCCTTTTCTGTCGCCAATTTCAGTACTGATGACAAGCGCCTTTTGGAGATACTCCCTTGCAATCTTGTATTGTCCGAGGGATTGAAACACAGTTCCTAGGTTTCCATAACATGATGCTTCTCCTTTTTTGTCGCCAATGTCAGATTTGATGGCAAGCGCTTTTTGGAGATATTCTTTAGCCTTGTCGAATTGTCCGATAGACTGACACACAGTACCTAGGTTTCCGTAGTCAGTTGCCTCTCCTTGTCTGTCGCCAATTTCAGTTCTGATGACAAGCGCTTTTTGGAGATACTCTTTAGCCTTGTCGAATTTCCCGAGGGAGTGAAATACAGTGCCTAGGTTTCTGTAGTCAGTTGCCTCTCCTTCTCTGTCGCCAATTTCAGTTCTGATGACAAGCGCTTTTTGGAGATACTCTATAGCCTTGCGGTATTGCCCTAGCGACTGAAACACAGTTCCTAGCTTTCCATAACATGATGCTTCTCCTTTTCTGTGGCCAATTTCAGATTTGATGGTAAGGGCTTTTTGGAGGTACTCTTTAGCCTTGTCGAATTCCCCGAGAGAGTGAAATACAGTGCCGAGGTTTCCGTAGTCAGTTGCCTCTCCTTCTCTGTCGCCAATTTCAGCTCTGATGACAAGCGCTTTTTGGAGATACTCTATAGCCTTGCGGTATTGCCCTAACGACTGAAGCACAGTTCCTTGCTTTCCATAACATGATGCTTCTCCTTTTCTGTCGCCAATTTCAGATTTGATGGCAAGGGCTTTTCGGAGGTACTCTTTAGCCTTGTCGAATTCCCCGAGAGAGTGAAATACAGTGCCGAGGTTTCCGTAGTCAGTTGCCTCTCCTTCTCTGTCGCCAATTTCAGCTCTGATGACAAGTGCCTTTTGGAGATACTCCCTTGCATTCTCGTATTGTCCGAGAGATTGAAACAGAGTTCCTAGGTTTCCATAACATGACGCCTCTCCTTTTTTGTCACCAATGTCAGATTTGATGGTAAGCGCTTTTTGGAGATATTCTTTAGCCTTGTCGAATTGTCCGATAGACTCAAACACAGTACTTAGGTTTCCGTAGTCAGTTGCCTCTCCTCCTCTGTCGCCAATTTCAACTCTGATTACAAGCGCCTTTTGGAGATACTTTTTAGCATTTTCGTATTGCCCGAGAGATTGAAACAGAGTTCCTAGGTTTCCATAACATAATGCTTCCCCTTTTTTGTCGCCACTTTCAGATTTGATGGCAAGGGCTTTTTGGAGGTACTCTTTAGCCTTGTCGAATTCCCCGAGAGAGTGAAATACAGTGCCGAGGTTTCCGTAGTCAGTTGCCTCTCCTTCTCTGTCGCCAATTTCAGTTCTGATGACAAGCGCCTTTTGGAGATACTCCCTTGCATTCTCGTATTGTCCGAGAGATTGAAACACAGTTCCTAGGTTTCCATAACATGATGCTTCTCCTTTTTTGTCGCCAATGTCAGATTTTATGGCAAGCGCTTTTTGGAGATACTCTTTAGCCTTGTCGAATTGTCCGATAGACTGAAACACAGTACCTAGGTTTCCGTAGTCAGTTGCCTCTCCTTCTCTGTCGCCAATTTCAGTTCTGATAACAAGCGCTTTTTGGAGATACTCTATAGCCTTGCGGTATTGCCCGAGAGATTGAAATACAGTTCCTAGGTTTCCATAACATGATGCTTCTCCTTTTCTGTGGCCAATTGCAGATTTGATGGCGAGGGCTTTTCGGAGGTACTCTTTAGCCTTCTCGAATTCCTCGACAGAGTGAAATACAGTGCCTAGGTTTTCGTAGTCAGTTGCCTCTCCTTCTCTGTCACCAATTTCAGCTCCGATGACAAGTGCCTTTTGGAGGTACTCTTTATCCTTGTCGCATTCCCCGAGAGAGTGAAATACAAAGCCTAGGTTTCCGTAGTCAGTTGCCTCTCCTTCTCTGTCGCCAAATTCAGATCTGATGACAAGCGATTTTTGGAGATGCTCGTTAGCCTTGTCGAATTCCCCGAGAGAGTGAATTACAGTACTTAGGTTTCCGTAGTCATTTGCCTCTCCTTCTCTGTCGCCAATTTCAATTCTGATGACAAGCGCCTTTTGGAAATACTCTTTAGCATTTTCGTATTGCCCGAGAGATTGAAACAAAGTACCTAGGTTTTCGTAGTCAGTTGCCTCTCCTCCTCTGTCGCCAATTTCAACTCTGATTACAAGCGCCTTTTGGAGATACTCTTTAGCATTTTCGTATTGCCCGAGAGATTGAAACAGAGTTCCTAGGTTTCCATAACATAATGCTTCCCCTTTTTTGTCACCAATTTCAGAATTGATGGCAAGTGCCTTTTGGAGACACTCATTAGCCTTGTTGTATTGTCCAATAGACTGAAACAAAGTACCTAGGTTTTCGTAGTCAGTTGCCTCTCCTCCTCTGTCGCCAATTTCAGTTCTGATTACAAGCGCCTTTTGGAGATACTCTTTAGCATTTTCGTATTGCCCGAGAGATTGAAACAGAGTTCCTAGGTTTCCATAACATAATGCTTCCCCTTTTTTGTCACCAATTTCAGAATTGATGGCAAGCGCCTTTTGGAAATACTCTTTAGCCTTCTTGTATAGCCCGAGCGACTGAAGCACAGTACCTAGGCTTCTGTAGTCAGTTGCCTCTCCTTTTCTGTCGCCAATTTCAGTTCTGATGGCAATCGCCTTTTGGACATACTCCCTTGCATTGTCGTATTGCCCGAGAGATTGAAACAGAGTTCCTAGGTTTGCATAACATAATGCTTCCCCTTTTTTGTCGCCACTTTCAGAATTGATGGCAAGCGCCTTTTGGAAATACTCTTTAGCCTTGTTGTATTGCCCGATCGACTGAAACACAGTACCAAGATTTCCATAGTCAGTTGCCTCTCCTTCTTTGTCGCCAATTTCAGTTGTGATAACAATCGCCTTTTGGAGATACTCCCATGCATTGTCGTATTGCCCGAGAGATTGAAACACAGCTCCTAGTTTTCCATAACATGATGCTTCTCCTTTTCTGTGGCCAATGTCAGAATTGATGGCAAGCGCTTTTTGGAGATACTCTTTAGCCTTGTCGTATTGTCCGATAGACTGAAACACAGTTCCTAGGTTTCCGTAGTCAGTTGCCTCTCCTTCTCTGTCGCCAATTTCAGTTCTGATGACAAGCGCCTTTTGGACATACTTTTTAGCCTTGCCGTACTGCCCAAGCGACTGAAACACAGTTCCTAGTTTTCCATAGGATGATGCTTCTCCTTTTCTGTCGCCAATTTCAGATGTGATGGTAAGCGCTTTTTGGAGATACTCTTTAGCCTTGTCGAATTGCCCGAGAGAGTGAAAAAAAGTGCCTAGGTTTTCGTAGTCAGTTGCCTCTCCTTCTCTGTCGTCAATTTCAGTTCTGATGGCAAGCGCTTTTTGGAGATGCTCTTTAGCATTGTCGTATTGTCCGATAGACTTAAACACAGTACCTAGGTTTCCGTAGTCAGTTGCCTCTCCTTCTCTGTCGCCAATTTCAGTTCTGATAACAAGCGCTTTTTGGAGATACTCTATAGCCTTGCGGTATTGCCCGAGAGATTGAAATACAGTTCCTAGGTTTCCATAACATGATGCTTCTCCTTTTCTGTTGCCAGTTTCAGATGTGATGGTAAGTGCTTTTTGGAGATACTCTTTAGCCTTGTCGAATTGCCCGAGAGAGTGAAAAAAAGTGCCAAGGTTTTCGTAGTCAGTTGCCTTTCCTTCTCTGTCGCCAATTTCAGTTGTGATAACAAGCGCCTTTTGGAGATACTCTTTAGCATTGTCGGATTGCCCGAGAGATTGAAACACAGTTCCTAGTTTTCCATAACATGATGCTTCTCCTTTTCTGTCGCCAATTTCAGTTCTGATGGGAAGCGCTTTTTGGAGATACTCTAAGGCCTTGTCGTATTGTCCAATAGACTGAAACACAGTACCTAGGTTTCCGTAGTCAGTTGCCTCTCCTTCTCTGTCGCCAATTTCAGTTCTGATGACAAGTGCCTTTTGGAGATACTCTTTAGCATTGTCGTATTGCCCGAGAGATTGAAACACAGTTCCTAGGTTTCCATAACATGATGCTTCTCCTTTTATGTCACCAATTTCAGAATTGATGGCAAGCGCCTTTTGGAGATACTCTTTGGCCTTCTCGAAATTTCCGAGGGAGTGAATTAGAATGCCTAGGTTTCCGTAGTCAGTCGCCTCTCCTTCTCTGTCGCCAGTTTCAATTCTGATGACAAGCGCTTTTTGGAGATACTCTATAGCCTCCCGGTATTGCCCAAGCGACTGAAACACAGCGCCTAGTTTTCCATAACATGATGCTTCTCCTTTTCTGTCGCCAATTTCAGATTGGATGAGAAGCGCTTTTTGGAGGTACACTTTAGCCTTGTCAAATTGCCCGAGAGAGTGAAATACAGTTCCTAGGTTTCCATAGTCAGTTGCCTCCCCTTCTCTGTCGCCATTTTCAGTTCTGATGACAAGCGCTTTTTGTAGATGCTCTAGAGCCTTGTCGTATTGTCCGATAGACTGAAACACAGTACCTAGGTTTCCGTAGTCATTTGCCTCTCCTTCTCTGTCGCCAATTTCAGTTCTGATGACAAGCGCCTTTTGGAGATACTCCCTTGCATTCTCGTATTGTCCGAGAGATTGAAACACAGTTCCTAGGTTTCCATAACATGATGCTTCTCCTTTTTTGTCACCAATGTCAGATTTGATGGCGAGCGCTTTTTGGAGATATTCTTTAGCGTTGTCGTATTGTCCGATAGACTGAAACACAGTACTTAGGTTTCCGTAGTCAGTTGCCTCTCCTTCTCTGTCGCCAATTTCAGTTGTGATAACAAGCGCCTTTTGGAGATACTCTTTAGCATTGTCGGATTGCCCGAGAGATTGAAACACAATTCCTAGGTTTTCATAACATGATGTTTCTCCTTTTTTGTCGCCAATTTCAGAATTGATGGCAAGCGCCTTTTGGAGATACTCTTTAGCCTTTCTGTATTGCCCGAGCGACTGTAACACAGTACCTAGGTGTCCAAAGCATAATGCTTCTCCATTTCTGTTGCCAATTTCAGTTGCGATGAGAAGCGCTTTCTGGAGATACTCTTCTGCCTTGTGGCATTTCCTAAGCGACTGAAGCAACGCCCCTAAGTTTATGTAACAGGATGCTTGTCTGCTTCTGTCGCCAATTTCGGTTGTTATGGCAAGGGCCCTTTCAACATACTCCTTCGCTTTTAGGTTTTTACCAAGTTTATAATGTACAATTGCAAACATGTTGTATAAGACATGCAGTTCCCTGCCGTATCCTTGCGCACTTTTGTAGTCTGAGATCTGACGATTGGCGCTGAAAAGAACTGTATAGATGAAGCTGTTAAATTGTAGCAGTACTGAATCAAATTGCTCTTTGCTGTTTTGATCGGTGTTATTCGGCAAATTCAAAAATTCGCTGCATATCTCAATGGCTTTCAGGGCAACAAGTGAGGCGATGCTCGTGGAAGCTATCATGGCTTCTGTCGTTAGGCTTCCATTGCCATCCTCTCCTGTTATTAGGGAAACATTAGTTTTAGTAACACAAGTTAACCAAATGATTCGATAATCTGGATTCATAAAGAGTCAGTGCAAACAGGAACTAATATGTGAAGTTACAAATACGGTTTGGGTCGATTACTCCTCGAAACTATTTGCAACGAGCTGCAAGTATTAGAATTCACAATATCGGCTTAAAACAAAATATAAGTGAAGAAGAAGCGTAGATAAGTAGAACTTGAGCACATCAGCAGATCACATTTGGTGAAACTTGTAAAATTAATTTGACCTGCACAGTCTTTTTTTTAAAATGGACTGTGTGACTGTCACGCTGTGGAAGACAACTGTTATCCAGGTGATTTTTTTATCTAACTGTTTCGTTTGTTCATCTTATAAAGTAAAAAAAAAAAGCGCTTGAGTTTGATTCATGGGCGTGTGTCGGGGGGTCACACCATCAATTAGGGGGGTTTTGAAAGGTCGCGGGTTTCTTAAAAAAACAAGAAGGATTGATAAATCTTTTACTACAACGTTCTAGGAGCATTTAACAATATTATTCTGGCAGTTTATCACCAATTAATGAGCTTACTTATCTGAAATATACGGCTGAAAACGAATCTATTCGTAACTGATGAGGATGTTTGCCAAGATTTGAGGTAACAATAGCTTGACAAACTCCATTTGTCACCTTTCACTTTACTTGAGTTGTGATTTTTGAACAACATGACATGACTTTAAGGTCATAGGACAAAGATGAATAAAATAGTATTTATGTTAACTTTTGCTATGAGAACTCTCCGTATGCATTGTTTCTATAAAAAAAAAACTTTAATACAAGGGGTAAGTTTCTAAAGAAACTTTGGTGGGGTATTGCAAAATAATTTGGCTTTACCAACTGAGTTGACGACGTAACTGTCCTGAAGATTTCCTGGCATTCCGAAATATGGCATGCAACATTTGAAAATACTGTTGTAGCTGGCTATTGTCAAGTAACGAGCTTACTTATCAGATAAATGTCACTACAAACGAATCTATCCTTAGTTGAGAAATGAGAATGATGAACAAGATGTGAGGCCACAGAGGTTTGACGAAGTCCGGCTTTCTGACAAATTCATTTCATCCATTGGCGATTTTTGCACAATATAAAATGATTTAATAGTCACAGGACAGGACTAAAAAAATTAACATTGTATGCCTTTGCGATGAAAAAGTTTCTTATCCCATATGTGACCGTAAAAGTAAAGCTAAAGTTACGTGAAAGTTACTCTAAAAAACAATAGACCGGTAAAATTACGGACCTCGCAGCTGGTACTTTTGAAAGTAAAACGAAAAAATCTATGAAAATCAGCCAACACTTTTTCCTACATTCCTAAATTTCCCTTAGTAATGAGGCCAACCTATGCCATGATTTTTAAGTGTTTTGTTACACGAAAGAGATAAAATACTTTCAAAAAATCTTGAATAGTGTAAAAACCACACAGCGCGATTCTGCACGTTTTTGATCTTTTAAAAGATTGACAAATGTTTTAGTTAAAAATTTTAGCATTAATCTAATTCAAAAAAGTGTGTCTAATAACGGGATGGAAGTAAAAAAGATTGTAATCCTCTTTTTCCCACTTTTATGGAGGCATCAACCATGAGTTAGTTAAATGTCACCAAGAAAATATCTCGATTTTTAACCAAAGTTGTTTGAGTTTATTGTATAGCCAAACAAAGCAATCGAACCAAATTAATGGTAGAGGTTCCAAGCCTACATTCATCTGAAAAGTTACTGAACTGATTAACTACACTATGACAAGATTATATTAAATCAGTTAAGTAACGTTTTGTTCCTCACAGAAAATATATTATCATTCTTCGTGAGCTCTCAGCGTCGTAGGCTGATTTATCTTCTTACGCAAGACTTTAGTGCTTTAACAAAAAGTAAACGAGGTCAGTTAATTACTAATGCAAATTACGACCACTGGAAAACCATAAGCTTTTACACCGCGATTACCCTATGAAATAAGCAATGGAGTAAATAGATTTCAATTTTTTTTTAAAAATTAATCGCGTAATTGTCAAAACCATCAGTTTCTGTAATTTCGATTCTTCACAACTTGATATGCAAACATAAAAATCGGAAAAGCATTCATAAGGCTTTCCCATGAGAGCCTTACTTCTCTAGAGTGTCTAATTGTTGCTTTTGAAACAAAAACAAAAATTGACTTTTCCCAACTTCCGAAACTTGCGCTGTCACAGTTTTTTGTTCCCATGTTTTGGGCACCAAAACATTACCAAAACATGGGGGTTAACCAAGGCCATGACTACGACCGTTGACAATCAAACACTTATGTACCGTGAAAGGGTTTTGATATCCATAACGCTACTATTTTTTTTTTTTTTACAATGATATGGAAAGAAGGAGAAAATCTGCGGTAAAAGAAACACGGTACATTTTTAGACGATAATAGTGAAAGCCTATACTTATGAGTTGTCTCTAACTGTAGAACGGGTAATTCCTTGCTCTCGTCCTTTTCTACCTAGCAGCGCAGACGTGTAAATTCTTCCTACGCGAATGGCTAATGTTTGTCACAGCAACCACAAGTAAATTAGTTGGAAAAATTTACTGCTTATGAACTTTTATGACAAAAAACATGATCACAGGGTACCTTTAGAAGTCGCCAGAGGAATGTTATCTCCAAACTCGGAGCTTACGTTCTCACAAGATTTGTCAGACGAAGTGTCGATGTCTCCCAAATAACCAGCGTTCTTTACAGCATCACTACTTTCTTCTTCGGTGCTAAGTCCTGTTTGGTAAAAACACAAAATTGAAAGAAATAAACGCTCATACATCACCCTCCTCTTAGATCTAAACGGTCCGCAATTGCTTCCACATAAACAACATACTAGATCAGCAGTATTAAAATTGTTCACTCACCAGACTCCTTTTGTGCTTCCTCCGCAGCTCTCACAAGCTCAGACCAGTCGATTGTCTGAGGGTAGTTTTGGGCTTCGCTGGCCTCTGCAGAAAATCTAAGCAGCACAAATATGTTTTGACAATTATATTTTAAATTTTTTGAGATTCATCAAGGTTCACAAAAAGCAGTCGATCGAAACCTTACGATGCACCTCAAAAGGGACAACATGAGTAGTGACTATATTGAAAAGTCCAATTAGATCGACGTTAACTCAAATGGCGACCACATTATGGATTCACATCATATTTTTCTTTCCGTATTTTTTTTTCTGCGAAATGAACTTATTTCGTATGAAATATTTCAGTGATTTAGAAATGTGCGTTAAAGCTTCACAATCAAATATGAAGGTGCCAAAACATAATTTTGTCACTTTTTTTTAACTATTTAATGGATGATGGAAAAGTAACCTGGTTCCTTATATGGCTTCTCACTGGATATCAAAAAGATCTCTCAGATTAAGTCGAGGACAGTCGACATAAGTATTGGAAAGGATAATTGTATTGCGCAAAATTCTAATTTCTTTGCGCATTAAAATTTGATGACGTAACAGATATAATTGTTAAGATTTTCTATCGCTAGACAGTGTTATGGACACCTAGAACCAATGGGTAAATATTTATCTTGATTTCTTTTGATAAATATTTACCCATTGGTTCTAGGTGTCCATAACACTGTCTAGCGATAGAAAATCTTAACAATTATATCTGTTACGTCATCAAATTATAATGCGCAAAGAAATTAGAATTTTGCGCAATACACAAATTAAGTATCTACTAGAACTCGAATCACTTTCGTCAGAGACATAGTGTTAATGGTGGTCAAATCTCTCGCGAGAAAAGCGTTAAATAAGTTAACTAACCTAAAGAAGCTCACTATCATTTAAAAACAAAACAAAAAAAGAAACTAACGTAGGTCAACCTGAGTGGCAAAATAAACTCACCACAACAGTCTCACGGCTGACGTCGACCCGAAGTACGCAGTTAGAAGTAAACTCGCATCTATATGTCTCTAATATCATATATTATCGCGAAGAATAAACGCCATTTTTTTGCAATCTTAGTGGTTTTTTTCATCCACCTCATCATAAAGTAAAGTACAATTAAATACCTTTTAGTTATCTCCTCAAAATAAATTGCCGTCTTCTCATACCCATACTCTCTGGCAATAGCTTCAGGAAAAGGTGGCCTCTCTTTGTAAAAGTCATAAACTATTCTTCCGGCAGACGATTTGAATATCATTTCAATGAATTGTTGACCACCAATTTCTGCTGCAGCGTATACTAAGGCGCATAGCGTCTGAACTGGCTGTGTGGAACCTGAAAAAGTGTGGTTGTTTACACAGATCAAATATGACCAGCCAACCGGTGATGAATCGAATTGCTCTATAAGACAAAACTCTCTGGCCGGAACAGTTTTAATGCTAAATTTGAATTCAATTTTCTGCTAATGACTCTGATAAAACCAAAGAAACATTCTGAGAAAATAAAATTATTAACTTTTAAATTGACTGTTTCAGCCGGTCAGATCCAACTACAAGTAAGTGAGCAACCAAGACAATTCTTAAAATTTGTTCTCAAAAAGGTATAAATCTTTTCAAAGAGTGATATTCTGTATTACATTGCAATATGTAGGGCACGATATTGATAGTTGTAATTTGATACATTCAAAAATTGAAGAGTATATATGAAGGGTACAAATGATGCATGATTTGTGAAAATTGACTGACTGACTGACTGATAGAAAGATTGTAAGCTTGACTATGATGTTAGTAGCCTGCAAAGCAAGCGTAATTTTGGCGGCCGAGGGCTCAGTATTATCTCTGTCAAAATTATAGTTGCCATCATTGATTTTACAGCAGAGGAAGACTGGGGAGAGAAAGAAATGTTTCTACCAAGGAGGTGAGCGACGATCACAATGAAGGATAGAGGAGGGGTAGGGCAGTGAGTATTATTTCTACCTTTCTCAACCCCTTCCCCGACCGTCGAGTCTAACGCCAAATAAAACATACGATCGCACTAATAAGACTCCTACTCTGTAGGCTATGATGTTAGCAGTAATTCAAGATTCGAGCCTTTCATAATCCTCTGCATCTTTCAAAAATTCAACCATATAGGATTTCCACTTTCATTCGCATCTGTTGAGAACACATGCAGAAGTAATCGAGTAGCTCTCATGAAATTTAGATGTAATCAATAAAGTGCGCCACTCACCACAAATTCCAGAATTTTGTGCTTCATCGCCACTGAATGTCGCAGTGTTATGATTATCCAAAGTTTCAGCTTGATATCGAAAAACCTGCGCCTGTAGCTTGGGGTTCATAATCACCCGTTTGAGAGCCTCTACGTCCTCATCGTAATACCTAATCTTTGTTTCCCCTAACTCTCCACCATCAGCTCTCTTTAAAAAAATCCTGACCCAGCGTGGCGTTTGGGCAGCTGTAATGATAAAACCACGCAAAAAAAATGATCATGAAATATAAAGCTAAGGAGAATGCAAACCTCTTACCTAGTGTTCTGCCAAAACGGGGATATAACGATACAATTTAAGTCTCAAATGCATGTTTTTAACGTTGTCATATTCATTTCATTTCTTGACATATTTTTTTCCTTTTAAATCTTGGTATCACTCATTCTTTTTTGCTTCTTTTTGCGCATTTTTGTTTGTTGTTTTTTTACTTTAAACTTACTTCTAATATTGTTGGGGCGTGGACTTCAAATAAACTAATTGAAGCACACGAATACGTGTTACTTCAGTCACACCAATATTAATAAAGGATTAGCGGATCCGGTACTTTGCAAAATCATATCCACTTGAAATTACGAAAAAATGAAGTACTGATCAAGGATATTTGAAGTCAAAGCTCCTACTATAACTCTAGTAACCACGAGAGCATACATGCTAAACATTTTATTTGTCTCCTCACAAGTTAAGAAAGAAGTGAGGCCAATTTCCCGGTTGTAATTAAGCAGTGAGAATCAACTTACGTGGAATCCTCATTCCAACAAGGAACTTATTCTTAAACCTCTCCACATCAATAGTGCCCAGACCCTCAAAGCTGGCAGATGCAGACTGCACATTCCTCGGAAACGCTCGATCAGATTCAAATAAAACATGATCTGCACCCTAAGAAACAGTACTCTGTGGCGTCACGAACTCTGCATATACATATATATTTATTTATTTATTTAATAATTTATTTCTCGGATTTTGCAGTAGAATGCCCCTAAAATGATTGATTGCCATACAATTCCGATGCAATTATACCATCATAACATGCATATGACAGAGAGCCACCTGAATAAGTATATTTAACAAATAGAGAAGCGTTGACTGCGCTCCGTTCTATTGTAAAGCACGCAGGAAGCGACTAGAGCAAGAAAGAAGTGTAAGGAGAAACACGAGACGTAGTCAATGACAATGAGAAAACAAACTGCTCAACGCGAGTGTTTCATGAATGAACCACAGTCGGGTGTTTCTCCCCTCTTCTTGGGTGTTTTTGATAAAGAGTTTATTAAATTCCCCACGCATTACTTTTAATTTTCAAAGAAAACTACATTTCCAAAGCGAACAGCAATGTCATCATCATGCTCTATTCTCTAATAAAGCACCCCACAATAAGCCGATCAGAATCCTCCTTAGAAAAGTTCATATAATCTGATTGGTTGAACAAGACTAAAGCTGTAAAAAATTTCAAACCATCAAAATTCACAATCTGCAATAATTCACAAACTGAAATGGTTTGGCGGTCGAATTTAACACTTTTGCCTGAAGTTTTCAGCCTGAAAGTGATATGTTCAGTGAAATCCAGCCGAACCGTGGCACAGAAAAACATGTAATTGTTTTCACATAACAATTAGAAAACAAACTTCTCAAGGTGTGTGTTTTATAAATGAACGACGGCCGAATTCATGGGAACATGAAGATAGCTCGGGATAACAGGGCCGTAAAATTCGGCTGCTGAGACTGATGTGGCCTCTTACTCAACGCATCGGGAAGGATATCAAAGTAAGCTCTTAGCTGCTCACTCGAAGGGCTGCCGATGTAATTTCTGAGGCTTGCTTCATTACGATGACCGTACATCGCCACGATGAGCTAGCTGCAATGGACCTCAGCATGATTGCAGTCGCTCTGACACCGTCATGCCTTTATGCAAGCTTGGTTATATTTTTCATTATTCCTGTTTTGTTCTCTTTTGTTTTTGTACACGAGACTATATATACTATACTAGTGTTCATTACCGTGAAAACCTTCAAAATTCGGAAGGTCTATTTCGTTTTCTCTTTCAGGATTTTCGTCTCTGCTGACCTCAATTACGGCCCTTGACATTTTCACAACCTTTGTCTGGTTCTTCTGTTGCTACTTGCTGGCTCGCTTTTTCCGAAATTTCACTTTCAATTAACGAAAAAAAGTCAGAGAGAAGTCCGGGAAATTCGGACATAGTACAAATGACAGACAGCTTTAGCTCAGCTCGGTGTTTTGTACTCTGACAGAGCACGCTCTTTCAACCAAGAACAGCACGTGTTATATGCGAACTCCATAATAACAATCGCATAAGGTGTGCACAGATGCAACAATAAATACCCAACTACAATAATTTTCACAAATCCTTACCTGCAAGGGAACCTCTCCTGGCCTGACACTGAAGCCAAACTGCTCATCTTCAGGTGGTGACAGATCGTCTGCAGGGCATCAATAAGATTTAAGAAACGAATCATGCACATGCAATTTCTGTAAATTCATTAGTTCATTTAATGCCCTCTCTGAAATTAGGGAAAATCACTAATCGTGACAGAGTAAAAAGAAAAAAAAGGAAAAACGCAAGATACTCAACTAATACTTAATCTGAACAAAAAAGTTGAGATGTCCAATTAAAGAGTATCTGTTTGCCACAGAAAACTGCTTTAATTAAACAAAAAACGGTGGATATACTTTCAAAAATGTACTAATGTACCGCAATTTGTATCAAATAAGTAGGTAAACTTCAAAGATAATTGCAAAGTTCAAATGTTAGCTCGAAGTAGTTTATCTCTTTTCGTCTTAAATTAGCCATAATTGGGTCAATGACAAAAAGCCTTACTGATGGGTGATTTTTGGCAGCCCTTATTTCTGGCCTAATTGGCAGCTTAAAGTCTACACTGTCCAATTTCGGACTTCCTGTTGTACAATTTAGGTGTAATGCTCGCTATTTCAAATTGGCCTTACGCTATCCCCCACTGAACAATTTGAAATCACTCACCCGATTTCTTCCTGGATTGTTCCTTACTTAGTCCTATTACCACTATTTACAGACTGAGGTAAATATGTAAGAATTTACGAGGATGCTTTGAATAAGTTTCCACCCAGAGGTGCAAGCATAGTTTATAGCCTCTCACCTGAGGAGTTGTTATTAAGTTCAGAAATACCACTAGTGGTATTGTGGTTATCGGCTGAGCTGTCAGACATCTGTTAAAATAAACAATGTAAGGTATGTAATGATAGGCGTGAAAACACTGATCAACAGTTAAAACACCCATCTTGCTATACTTAGACGATAAAAGAACACTTTAAATGCTATTGCCTTTTGATTCTTTACATTCGACACTATAAAAAAGCCCTACTAGGCTTTTATACATAATGCTTTTGCCTCGCCACTCAAATGCTCCCTTAACGCTCCTTTTTTCCCCACAAATCTCCCTAAGTATCCCTAAATAAGTCTCTACAATGCTCAGATATTGTTCATTCTCCTGACACTTTTATTTTATTTACAATACTCGAAAAAAACCCAGCTTACTGTACTAAAGCCTGAACCCCATCTGAATTTTTCTAAATTTTACTTTATCTTTATTTTGTTCTTAATCTGTGGGATTCAGTGGCCGGGAATAAATAAATGTTTCTATTATGGGAAAATTCTGCCAGTCTAATCCTCTTTTTACCAAATCTTAAGACTTTTCATTCACCATTAGTTTAATAGATAAAATTTTTCATTCATTGAGTGAAATATTACCTCCGTGGAATTCAACAAGGATCCTTGAAGAGGGAGTTGAAATTCTCTAATTTCTGCAGTTCCTGCAATAGAAATACCATGTATAGTTTCACTTTCTTTTATTTACTTAGTAACGTTGTTTATTTATCATTTTAATTTTTTTTACATAAGCTGATCAGAATTAAGCACGCATCTTGATTGGCTGTTTCTTATGGTCTTTTGGAAGACAGACGCATATATTATGTCACCATCAACAACTTTTGCCTCTTCATTATAGTAGACAAATGGATTCGTTGTTACCATGGTTCTGTACAGTAATAGATGACAGGAGACATAAAAATGCTAAAAGAAATCTGAGACACTCTTGGCTACGCCTCATGTGCCACGTTTTTGTTTTCAAAACATCTGTGATCTATTGCTCAATAAATTCATGGCAACATGGCATATTTTTGTCAAATAAAAAATGGAAAATTGAAAATCGACTTTTTAAATGGAGATAAATATCTGTTTACCACCTAAAACACTATGGAGAACGTAAACGAAAGAATCCATCTGTGTAGAAGGGCAGTGTTAATCACTTTTCAGCGCCCATTTACTTTTTAAAATAGTAAAAAGACACTTTTAAAAGGTGGCTCCCTAGGGTATTCTTCCTTCAGAGCGCGAGTTACGAAAGGAAACCTAGTTAATTATTCATAAAGTTTTTTCTCAAGATTTACCAGTTCGGCTAACGATATAATAAGGCTTTTGTTTCAGATCAATGATGTTGCTATGGCAACATCATCTGTAATGACATGCAGATACATTCCAATTTTTGGCCGAAACACTCTGAGATCTTGATTTCCCTTGGTCAAATGTCTTTGCTTTTTGCCACATTACGGAAACGATATTGCCTGACCTTTTGAATTTTAAAATTTCAAAGTCGTTTAGACGGTTTTGCCAATATTCTCTGATTTGTCGTATTCCTAAATATGATCGGTTAGCTCTGACAGATTTTAATAAGTATATTTGATAGAAACTGTAGGAACTGTGAGTGGTTAGGACTAGGCCGATTAAATAAAAAATTCCAAGGGAAACGCGATAAATCTCATTGGAAAGATCCCCTTTCTCTCGCTCCCAAAACATTACATCATTAAATAGCACTTCGCCAAAATCTATGTCGCCTTTTGGCAACCTTTCTCACGGTGTTTTCTTTCCGGTTGACCTCTGTTTCAGGCGTAGAAGGCCTATGAATATTACGGGCGCACTTGCCCCTAGATTCATTCATATAAAAACTGTGTTGTGTCAAACTGTTTTAACACACCTTTCCAGATAGCAATCGTGCGATCTTATCGCGCCGTCATGTTTGTTTTGCATATTGACACTTTTGCACCTCGCGCTATGTTCGCCCTCACATTTCGCGCCCTCGAAAAACCCTATAAAGCCTCTTGGATGTGGAAAATGTTTTGATCGACAAATTTAACATTTCTCAAAGCAAAACAACTTTAACAGGTCTAAATTTCTTTTAGCTTTATTTACGGCGCACCACATGTGTCCTCGCTGCTCCACGCATTTCAATCCAGCTACCTTTCAAAGAAAGGTATAACATGCTCTCCCACAACAATCTACTGTTATCGCATTTACAGAAGCTTCTCGCACATGCAGACCCGTCTCGCAATTTTGTTACCTTACAGAGATAACAACGGAAGCTGCACCTTTCTTAGAAAGGCACCAGGCAAACATGGGTCTTATAAATTTTTTGACTCATTTTTGTTATCACCTGCTCCGCATAAAAAAATTTTCTGGGGAAATTCCAGTGAAAGTGCTTTTGCCTCACTAAAATACTCGAAAAAATATCAGCCTAAACTAAAGCCTAAACCCTATCAGAATTTCCTCCAAATTTTTCTTTATCTTTATTTTGTTCTTAATCTGTGGGATTGTGGGGGTTGCAAAGTATTCTGAAACATAACTGTTGCACTTGTATCACTCAAGGTAGGTTGAATCCAGTTTGACAAAGCCACTTAATAAAAAAAGAAAAAAAAAGAAAAAAAAGAGAAAAATTGTCAATTTCTCAGATGTATGGGACCAAACTATGTTTTTCTGATACAAAGTTCACCTCCTGATAAACTACACATTTCTTACTTGGTGCTAAGCTGTTGGTAGCATCATTGGTCTCATGTGGTGATTCTTGTGGCATCTGAAACGCAAAGAAAACAAATAATACATTTATAATGCTGCTTTTTATTCTTAACATAATAATGATTTGCCTCGTGAATTCCAACAAAATAAATTAATCCAAAAATTAAATTCTTGGATATCTGCACAAACACTACTTACAAGATGGTTGTAAAAATAAATATATGTTATTTGCCGGCTGGGAGGTCCGTATGGTGAAAAACTGTGACCGAGGTCTTGAAAATACTGCAGCATTTTCAAGACCGAGGTCACAGTTTTTCACCATACGGACCGACCCTTAGCCGGTAAATAACATATTTATTGTTTTTAAACTTGACGAAATTCTTTCCGATAGAACCCGAATGACTTATGGCCGTAAATACGGCAAGATCTTCCATAAACTGAACAATTTTTGAGAGAGTAAATGGTAGTTAAAATAGAGGTGATGCAAATTTAAGAGAGATTCCTCAGCGAAACATTTTCATTTCCGTAACGATAAAGGTGATTTAAAAGGCTTCCAAACAAACTTTGAAACATTATTTTTACAAGTATCTGTCACAATCTGACACCTGTCAATTAGAGAGCGCACAAGAAAAAAAAAGCGTAGGAACATTTGAAAACCAACAGAACTAGTTTGGCAAGGACTGTCACAACAATGTTTTCTTCAAAATCAGTTAATGATCTAACGGAAAGTATTATTCACTCTCATCGACCATTCATTCATGTACGAAGATTTACCTCTGTTCATTAAGTAAACGGCGAGGAAAGTAATTGTGAGTAAATTCAATTTTTTTATTTTGAAGTTGTGAGAGTTTGCTCGTTTGTTTGCTGTAATGGCGTGTTTAACTCTGATCTTTCCTTCACAAAAACTAAATTCGAACGGCACACTCCAACGAGACACAAGGGAATGTAATGCGGCCTTTTCTCAAAAAATTCCTTCAATTTCTGTTGTGCAATTTAAGGTACAAATGTCCAAATTGAACGGAATTGGAAAGACTCACCAGGAGCGTATATTTGTTGTAGAACTTAAATTAAAACTTTGCTCGCTCTTTCACTATGAACAAATTGCTCGAGAAAATTCAGATATTAAATGAATGAAAGTTCCATCGTTCAGTTCAAATACCTCACGTTTCAACTTCCTGGGTACTTTTTGTGAACGATTAAAATTAATTGCAGACGGTTTTTAGGCCGCTTGTCAACCAACGTAATGACACTATTGTTTATACAAATTCATTCTGAAACCAATATTTTTCTGTCAACCAAAGTGATTTGATAGAGAGAAAAGAGAGGATTCATAAGTTATTTATCGGCTTGAGGTAGTGACCGACGTGTTTGCTTAAAAATACTGCCCAGCCGGAAAACGAGGTATATTTATGAAAAATAACAACGAAAGTTGGGATGTACTCGGCGACTCACGAAAGCGTTACCGCGGCCCGTGGGCAGAGATAGAAAAATACTGACCGGGTAAAGAACCAATCAGATTGCAAGATTCGTTACCGTGCCCTCTAAAAAAACAATAATGTGTATTATTGACACAGCTAGTAAATTGTGGGATTTCGCAGTAGAATAACATCATTATGGTTGATTTCCATACAAAAATTCCCCTACAATTATAGCATTATAACATGCATATGAGAGAAAGCCACCTCTAGAAGCATTTCAATCACATACGGTGTGCACAGATACAATAACAAATACCTCACTAAGATAATTTTCGTAAACCCTTACCTGCAAGGGAACTTTTTCCGGCTCGACACTGATGCGATATTGCTCATCTTCGTGTGGCAACAGATCATCTGCAGAACATCAATGAGATTTTAAAAAGAATCATGGACATACAACTTCTGTAAATTCCCACTAGTTCGTTCTCTAAAATTATAACACATCACTGATCGTTCCAAATAAAAAATTTTAGTGTAATTTCAAATTAAACTCACGCTAATTTAAAATCATTCACCCGATCACTTCCTGAATTGTACTCCACTTAGTCCTATTAAGGACTACTTATAGAAGTAAATGTGTAAGAATTTATGAGGATGATTTGAGTAACTTTCCACACAAAGCTGCAAGCATGGTTTACAGCCTCTTACCAACAGAAAAGTTGTGACCAAGTCCAGAAATACCACTAGTTGTACTGTGATTATCGGCTAAGTTGTCAGACATCTATTAAAAGAAACAATGTAAGGTTATGTAATGATAGGCGTGAAAACACTAATCAACATTTAAAACACCCATCTTGCTATACTTAGACGATAAAAGACCACTTTTAATTTAAATGCTAATGCCTTTTCATTCTTTACATTCAACACTATAAAAAAAAAACCCTTTAAGTTTTTGTCTATAATGCTTTTGCTTCCCCACTTAAATGATCCCTGTAATGCTCCTTTTTTCCCCTCAAAAATGCTAAGTCTCTCCTAATAAGTCTCTACAATGCTCGGATATTGCTCATTATACGGATACTTTTATTTTATTCATTCCAACATTTTAACACAGTATTTAAATGTGAAATAAAAGTATAAATGAATAAATGGAATGACAACATGGCCGCCTTTTTGTTAGCCTTGAGTCTTGAAACCTAAAAGCGCTGACCTTTACGCATTCTCTGCTCAGCTGCATTACAGCAGCAACTGTGACATTTGAGATTTGTGCGAATTTCAAGTTCTGTTTATTTTTTTTGGTTATAATTTTTGTTATCATCTTCTCCAAATAAAAAATTTTTTTCCTGGTGAATTCCAGGATTTAATATTCCTCTATTACAAGACTATTATTTCACTTTTTCTATATTAATATTTTAGCTCAAGAGATACATCCTACAGCCTAATCTGTGCATCGCATCGATCGCATAATGAGTTCGCGAGAGACGAAAACAACATGAACAAAACCGTTAAGATGTTTTTTTGCGACCAACCAAAAATCTGCAGTGTTTAAAATTTCGATTAATTTCAATAAAATATTTATACAGACTACAAAATTCAGTGAGCAGCTGAATTTTTCGATATCAAAAGGGATGTAATAAATGGTTGATAATTAAATGACAAGGTTGATAATGAAATGACAAGGTAATAATTTTTAAAGTAAAATCTGGGGTGGATACCTCTATGTCCAGAAGAGCAGTGTAGTCCAGCATTGAAGAAGCCACTGCATTAAAATCATGGGAAAGAATTATTTTAAGTTTATCTACACGATAACATGTCCACAAAAACATCTTGTTTCATTGATCTACCAATCGCAAGACATGCACACACCAATGTTTATAACGAGAGATGTAACCCCATTTTGATCTACATGTACCTGCAGCAGTTATCTTTAACATTTAACATTTCTTCAATGTAAATGATATAAACGGTTTTCATAAAAATGAATTAACTTAACTCAAATATCGTCCTGTAAATTGTACTCTGAGATATAGTGTATCGTTTCCTTTTGTATTTATCATGTTTTTTTCTACCTCAAATAACTTTTGAATGTATAAATAATTTTTCTTAGATGAAATAAATAAAATATAACAAAAAAAAACCAGTAAAAGACTGGTAAGACTCAAGTTGAAAAATGATTTTTATTTTTATTTTTTATTCAGTACCCATTTATTTGTATTCCTCAGGGTGCATAGAGAGAGGCGCTGTGAGAGTAAAGTGTCTTGCTAACTGAAAGAACACAACACATTAACCCCACCCACTCTTGCATCTGGACCTCTTGACACGGAGTCCAGTGCAGGCCACTGAATCTCTCGACAAATGGAATGTCCATAGCTGAATTCCCATATTCCCAATTTTATGGTAATTAATCTACAAAGAGACTGAGATGTTTCTCCATATAATATATGTACATATATCACATCTATACAAAAATAAGTTTTATCGCTTCATCTAACTAATCATTATACGTATGCTACTGTTTGAAATGGGTTTCAAGTAACCTGATTTAGATCTACCTGCATCTGCCTTGTTTTGTGTATTGATCAGATTACAATTTGCGCTGGCTGCCGATGGCCAATTAAGAATGTTGCCTTCTTACATTGGATAGTCATTTGGGGGTTGCAAAGTGTTCTGAACTATGACTGTTGCTCTTGTATTATTCGAGGTAGGTTGATTCAAGTTTGACAATGCCACTAAATGAAAAAAACATGGGAGAGCAAAATTGTCGATTTCATAGAGGTATAGGACCAAACTATGTTCCTCTGATACAAAGTCCACTCCCTGATAAACAACTTATTTACCTGGTGCTGAGCTGTTGATAGCATCATTGTTTTCATGTGGTGACTCTTGTGGCATCTGAAATGCAAATAAAATAAATGCCTTGTGAATTCTGACAAAATAAATTAATCCACAAAGTAAACTATTGGATATCTGCACAAACACTACTTACAGGCTGGTTGTGAAAACAATGTGCATTATGACATAGCTAGTATATTTGTGTAATCATGCAAATGAAATTGCATGAGCAATTTTGCTTCATCATCATACGTTAATGAGCATTCTTATATGCATGACACCAGCAAATGAATGCTTCGAGATTTAAATTTAATTCTACACGATTAACGACATTAAGTTGTTTTTTCCTTTCCATACTGATTGAAATAGACCTTCATGCGCTCTAAATGAAAAGTAAACTTATGGAGGCATACTTGAAATTGGAGAGCAATGGACATTTAAGCCTGCATGTATAAAGAGATGGAAAGAGCTTTTGAGTGAACAATGTTACAATTCCTAAATGTACAATGAATTGTGGCTGGAAATTGAAAACTGAATTTGCTGACTTGAGCAAGGCTTGGCCACTTTTCTTCAATGGCTCAAAAAGCTAGAGTGTACAATAAACTATAAGTTATATTTCACCTCCGAATTCTCCGAAGTGAGCATGGCTCTTGGCCTGGGTGCCAGAGTGGTATTCTGAAATAGACTGCTTTCGATAGTGTCTGGAAAAACTTTTACAAATAATAATTTATACTATCATTAGTGTCATTATGATTACCTTTATTTACAAACCCCTCTGCTTCATGGCTAATTAGTAAAACTGGATAAGAGTCGGCCATGTCTTGTCTTGTGAAACAAATTTAAAATGCTTTTATACACACCGGAATCCTACTTACGACGCACTAATTTATGTTAAAAAAGATGCAGAGGGCAGGCGGCCATGGAGGAAAACGAGCACAATTACGGGAAACTGTGAAAGAAGACCAACCACAGGCCCAAAGTTAAAAAAGGTAAACCCACAAAAAGCTAAGAAATTCCGGACAAAAAGAAGGTATGGTAAACCGACACAGAAGAATATTATTGTAGTACAACACAGGAGCTGTTAGTATAAAGAGACCACTTAACACGTATACTATTTGATTGGAAAACCACAGACCGCAACTTTACGATCTGGTGGAGCAAAGGTACAATAAAGATAACCAATCAAGGAAATACGAGAAAATCCAAAGTAATTAGTAATTGAGAACCTGTTGATTACTGGATAGATGGATCTGGTTACCGTGTACCGTGTATATAAAATTGTTGCCGCCCCATTCACAATTAATTGATGATTCCTTTGGAAAGGTACAATCACGCAGCTGTGTGCATGATAATATTCACGAACAGAACAATTTTAAACTTCCAAATGAATATTCACGATCTGAACTTAGCGAAACAAGGATAAGTCGTGACATCAGGCTAAATCGTCCACAAAGCATAGGATAGGTGGTTTAGTTGTTCGGAAATCCGAAGGGGAGTTTAGGAACCCCCCTTGGCATTGCATTAGAAAAGGAAACTTAGGAATCGACCCAGGGGAAAATGAAAACTTTCTGACCCTGACTCTGTTCCGGAGCGGCAAATCATAATGGCAAGTCCAAGGATTTATAAATCTACCGAAAATGAGCCCCCGACGCTGGTATTGTCGCTAGACGAGTCGGGGAGAAAAATATCTCTACAAATATCTCTACGAAACAACTTATGCTCTGGAACCACAGAACCAATTCAAACGACAGCACAATAAAACAAACTGAACAAAAATAAAAGCAGGTACGGAGAATAACATCAATATGAAAAGAAGGAGTTTATAGCTTTTCTTTGGGCGCCAGGTTTTCTTTGGGTAGATCTGGAGCCAGGGCATCAACCATTGGTAAACTTACGTAGACTTACTAATTGTCAGAATTGGGTATGACCTGTAGCAACATAAACTTCAAGCTCGATTTGAAGATTAACAAAATCTGGAAATTGATTTTATAGTTCTATGACTAGCATCTGTAGATGTGATTGTCTATACTTGCACTAGCTAGGGGTTTTGGGCATGTAAATAGAAAATTGTTTTCCAAGTCTGGTAAATAAGATCATTCTTTTTCATTAAATCAAGCCGGACTCTGAACAAACGGGTCAATGGTTAACAATAAGAGATCGCATTCATCGATCCTTTAGCAATTTTCCCCAATTGTACCTAGGCGGAGAAATACATTGTAAGAGTTACATTTCTCTGATAAAAAACACAACACAATGACCTAACCCAGGCTCGTTCCCGGATCTCTCAATCCAGAATACAGCAGCTAGGTTACCGCTTCAGGCCTCAAGAGGGGTTTCCCCCTTTTACTACTACATTATCAACTGTACCTGGTGGAGGAGAGTGTGGACGTGAAGTCACATGGGAAAGATGTGGGTCTTCAGACCAAAGGTTAAGACCCTCTCTCGCTGTTTCGTTTGAACAGAATTGTTGGGATGTTTCCATAGCCTCTGCCGAAGACAATTGATGTGATCGCTGAGAAGCTACAACCAATTCATTCGAAGTGTTCATCTGAAGTGTGAGCGTGGAAGAAAAAGGGGAAGCAGATATTAGATGACCTAATTTCAGACTCCTAAGCTGTTTTGCATCTGACGGAATTAAATATTCTTGTCGCAGGTTACTGTATCGAGCACCGAAAAGAAAAGAATACCACAAAGAAAGAAAAAAATTGATTTGTGATCGGAATATCATTCAAATCAAAGTAAATGATAAAAAAGATCTTTATCGCAGTGAGACGAATCCATACCTGTCGATTTTGCGGAAGTCTGATGAAACCTTGCAGTGTTCCATTTTCAGCTCCTAAAGTCTCTGCTGTTGAAAATTCTAGAAATAATAAATTAATTGTTTTATTAAATATGCAACATACACTTTTTAACCCCAAATTAACTATAAAATAATCTCTTAGGTGAAAGGGG